AAATCCTGTATCCGCCCCTGCTGGCGTGTGACTAAGGTTTGAAAACTGGGTTCAATTTCATCGGTTCAAGTCCAGTTTCGGTTTTTTATTACAAACAGTTCAATTTACCCTTGTACAGCCACCGATAATGAGTTCAATGTATATTACAGAATTCTCTTATGGCTTTACCTACCTAATACATTGGGTAAACCTCTGTCTGAGCAAAAATCATGAAGATATCCTTGTTTTCCATAAGAAAAATAGATCACTTTCTATAGTTGGTTTTCTATTAAGTGACTTGCGAAATTATGCAGCAGAGACGAAGATTTGGAACTTTATCACTATTACAGATAAAAAATTAAATTGTTATTATTATAAATTTTTTGTGGAAACCGTTGTAAATTGGACGTGAAACTATTCCAATGGAGTTACATGGAGTCACTGGAAATCACGAATACAGTCCCTTTAACTCATCTCTACTACACCCCTCTCTCCTGCACCCTTTAACTCACCTCTACTACATCCCTCTCTCCTGGACCCTTTAATTCACCTCTACTCCATCCCTCTCTACTGGACCCTTTAACTCAACTCTACTACATCCCTCTCTCCTGGACTAGAGTCTGAAGCTTGATCCTCCCACTCACTGCTAGACATAGAACTGTAACTCCTGGACACAAATATATATCCTCTGTATCCATCCCTTCAACCTAGACACAAATATATATCCTCTGTATCCATCCATTAAACCTAGACACAAATATATATCCTCTGTATCCATCCATTAAACCTAGACACAAATATATATCCTCTGTATCCATCCCTTCAACCTAGACACAAATATATATCCTCTGTATCCATCCATTAAACCTAGACAGAAATATATATCCTCTGTATCCATCCCTTCAACCTAGACAGAAATATATATCCTCTGTATCCGTCCCTTAAACCTGAACACAAATATATATATCCTCTGTATCCATCCCTTCAACCTAAACACAAATATTTTTTTAAGATATAATTTATTAAGTCACGTTTGCCAGATAGGAAATTAATACAATACTTTTTTCGTGCATTAAGTCACGTATAAGTATAACGTATAAAGCCATAAAATTGACGAGAAACATATTAGGAATTTTTTTCCTTTTAAAATGAAATATTTCGAAATGTGAAACTAGTAAGGCATGAAAAACAGAATCATCAATTTAAAGATAAAATATAAAACTAAGTTATAAAAGTTCTCTTGTAGTGGTACAACGTACATTGTACAATGTACTTTGCAGTGTACAATAATTAGGGAGATGTGTCTCGTTTATATTTGTTCAGTGCATTCTCTAGATAGTGCACAGTACAAAGTGTACAGCATACACTGCACAGTACACACTACCAAATGTACAGCATACACTGACCAATACACACTACCAAGTGTACATCATACAATGCACAGTACACACTACAAAATATACAACATGCACTGCACAGTGCACACTACCAAGTTTGAAGCATGTACTGAACAGTGCACACTACAAAGTGTACAGTATACACTGCACACTACAAAGAGTTCAGCATACACTATGTGACTGTACAGTGCACACTACAAAGTGTACAGTACACACTGCACACTACAAAGTGTACAGCATACACTGCACACTACGAAGTGTGCCGCATAAACTATGTTACTGTACAGTGCACACTATTAAGTGAACAAAGCAAACACTGCACACTTTACACTACAAAATGTACACGGCACGGTGCACACTGTAAAGTGTACAGCATACATTTACTGCACGCTGCACACTACAAAGTTTGCAGCATACAATGAAAAGTGTATAACAGCATACCAAGTAGAAATCAGGAAATTAATAAATATTTGGATTATAACCTCTTTTTCCTTGGGCTGGTTATCAGCCAACTGATAATCAGCGCTTTTCTCTCTGGCTGATCTGCGGGAAAAAACATTTAATACTTTTATCTAGCACAGCAGGATATAAATGGGGGGGGGGGGGAAGAAAAAAAAAAAATTTCAAAGAAAAAAAACTCTTTAATTCTCATAAAACATCTCATCTCAGCTATATCATATAAAAATGGAACAATATGGAACAGTCATATAAAAACCAAATAATTGAATTCAGTTATTAAAAAGTTTTCCTTTTTCGTTTCCCCGACGTAATCCCAACTTTCTTCTGTGTTGTAGAATCACAACCAGATCTGAAAAAATTGCCAAAAAATAAAAATTTATTATACAATCCGTGACCCTTTCCTGAAATATTGATTTTGAGAGAAAAAAAAGTTCGATGAATTTTCTTAGATCCATGGAGTACCAAAACAAATAAAAAATTTCCAAAAAATATTGAAAAAAAAATATACAGGAGAGTTGCACAAAAAAAGATACAACTTTGCACCAGACGCCGCTACTCACACTTTTTTTTGACTCACCCTGTATATAAAAAACTTAATGATTCCAGCCCTGGAAGAATTCCATTATATTTTATAAATTGTATCATTAAATTACAGATAAATGGAAACAAAGAAAAAGATTCAATCAACCAAAAAGATAAAAGTTTTCTATAGAATAATTCCGCAGAGTACATTGTGTTTTACTTCAAACTAAATACAATCTTGATGAACATAAAAATAGGTTTAAAAAAAACTTCTGAACACTTCAATTTTACCTGCTTCGGACTTTTTTTCTCTTGAAACCTTGACCAGGAGATCTGAAGACAAAACCTAAAAAAAACCTCAATAAGTCAAATTTTAGAAAAAGAAGCGGATCAAAGTGACAAAGTATCAACCAAACTAAACAAAATATCAACCCAACTATGCAAAATATCAGCCAAACTATACAAATATCAACCAAACTATACAAAATATCAACCAAACTAAACAAAAAATCAGCTGAACAATAAAAATATCAGTCAAACTTTACAAAATATCAGCTAAACTAAATAAAATATTTATTATACTATACAAAATATGCCAAACTATACAAAATATCAGCCAAACTAAACAAAATATCAAACCAAACTTTACAAAATATCAATCAAATGATACAAAATATCAGCTAAACTAAACAAAATATCAGCAAAACTAAACAAAATATAAACCAAACTGAACAAAAAATCAGCCAAACTATACAAAATATCAGCTAAACTATACAAAATATCAGCAAAACTATACAAAATATCAGCAAAACTTTACAAAATATCCATCAAACTATTCAAAATATCAGCTAAACTATAACTACACAAAAATTCAGCCAAACTATACAAAATATCAGCAAAACTATACAAAATATCAACCAAACTCAAAATATCAGCAAAACAATACAAAATATCAGCCAAACTTTACAAAATATCCATCAAACTATGCAAATTATCAGCCAAACTCTACAAAATATCAGCTAAACTAAATAAAATATTTATCAAACTATACAAAATATGCCAAACTATACAAAATATCAGCCAAACTAAACAAAATATCAAACCAAACTTTACAAAATATCAATCAAATTATACAAAATATCAGCTAAACTAAACAAAATATCAACCAAACTATACAAAATATCAGATGAACTAAACAAAATATCAACCAAACTATACAAAATATCAGATAAACTATACAAAATATCAATCGAACTATATAAAAAAGTATCTCTCTTTCTGCGCAAAAAATTAGATTTCTACACTCTCTGTTCTCTCAATGGTCAATCAGGTTTAAACCAGAAATTAGCAGTAAAAGAGAAAAACAATTACGGTTAATCAGGTGTGTAAATTCTCTTGAAAAAGAATTAAATAAACATATCTTTTTGTTGATGTTAAATTTTTTACTTTATCCCCCTGCAGGTCCTGAGCATTGAGCATATAAAATACCAACTTGCGACGGAGGGCCGGGGGTGCTTCTGGTAAAGGGAGGAAGGGTATATATATTATATAAACAACTTACTTGATTGAATGAGTGGTTTAATACTTTCTGGAGACGGATCTACCGCCATTCTTTTAGACTTCCGCTTCCGTTTACTGTTTACTCGAAACTCCTGGAGTTAATTTTTTTAAATATTAAAAAAGGGACTTTTCAAAGGTAAAAATGAGCGTTATGAATCCCGGGATTTATCAGTTAAATGTATCTATTGTCGTCAGAAGAATAAAATTCCTCTCTGATATCCTGTGGTCAAAGTCTATCGGAGGGATCCCTAACATTGAGAAATCAAAAAAACCATAGTTTTATTTAGTTATTATCATGTATGATGCTTGTTTTCAGATAGAAAAAAAACAATTAACCAATTTATTTAAAAAAATATTCCTTAAATGGAGAAATATTTTCTGTAAACGAATCACTCTCAAGTCCAAAAGCTTCCAGGGTACCCTGAACATAAAAATGTGCGTTAGTATTATTTTTTAAAGACAGGGTTTCTAAAAACTCATAAAAAAGCTCAAAAACGTGATACTGTCTCCCATGAATTCAAATTAGTATTAGTTCCAAGAATTTGGAAGTTTGGAACCCCTTCAATTTCTTCCTAGGAAGTAAGAAGAAGAAGTAAGAAGTCTTTATTTTGGTCTCATATTTGGAGTCTCTATTTAGGTCTCTATTTGAAGTCTCTTTTTTATTCCTCTTTATTTGGGTCTTATTTTTCTTCTATTTTTTGTCAAAATGTGTTCGCCGCCCCGCCTTAATTACCTTCCGCCTGGTGTCTTGTATCCGCCCGAGTTTATTTCTCCGCCCCAAAGTTAGATTTCCAGACTCTAAATCTGAATCACTCAACTGCAGACTTGAAAATAATCAAAAACCAAACTTGAAGAACTGTCTTCACTAAACTTACAAAATTCTAGATTTAAAAATTCCGATATCTTGGCCCCTTTTAATAATAAAAAATAAAAACCATGAAAAAAAACATTGCATTAATTGGAACACAATTTTGAGGACCAGAGTCAGAATTTAATGAATTTGAGCCGCGTCTCAAATCCGCCAAAAAACCGGTTTCAATTGAGCGCCGGCTTAAATCTTGAAACATTCAATACAATTTTATGTGGAACCAACTATGTTTGAGCCGCGGCTCAAATTCTTTAAATTCGGCCTCAGTAACCAACAATTTGATTCTTCTGCTCTGAGCATTGTTGCTAAAACTTGTAAATTTAGGTTCTGTCAAAGTAAATTCCAGTATCTTTTAATTTATGGAGACTAGAGAGGCAAGTCTGATTCACAAACGTTAAAAAATATTATCTAATTAAGTGTTAGTTAGATATCCATGTTTATCGTTTTGAAAACTGAATATTTTCAATTGTGGTTTCTCTACAATATTACTGCAGGAAAACAATGGAGGAATTGTCAGAAATTAACAATGACCAAGCTAGACATTCTAAATTATTGATATAATATAAAGGTAAAAGGATACCTTTGTGAATTGAACTTGCCCTCTTTACGAAAATTTATAATCTTGTTCCTAAGTTGAAGAAGATTACTGGTCGATTTACATCTTCGCTTCCAGGTCTAAACAAATTCAAATTGGTTAAAATTTCCTAAAATTAAAGTCGGCTAAATATCTTTCGTTCTAGAACAAATTAATGTTTTGAAGAATTGTCCTTATTATTATCAAATCAAATCAGAATCTGTTGGACATCAATCAACAACGTTAAAATACAATGAAAACATCAAATACTGGATTACGTTTTTGGTGCATAAAAAGTGATATATAAAAAACAATTTGAAGTGGCCGAGAAGGTAATATTTGTTTGTAAAAATAAATTTAAAATAACCTTTCTTCTTCCTGTAGACCGTCCACTACTGTTGGAACCGGCTAGGAATAGAGATAAATAACAAATCAATTCATCAATTAATCAATTCATCAGTTAATCAATTCATCAATTAATTAAGTAAATTTTGTAAAAGCATGTTTTATTTATCAATAAATCAATCAATCGAAGTATTAGTTGATCATTTAATGTGTAATAAAATTATAAAACTAATGAAACAAAACCAACAAGTCATTACGTATTATGTAATACGCAAATATATCAATTCAACCAATTTTTTGTCAATTAATTTTTTTTTGGTAAATTGGCCCCCTTTTTGAATGTTAAAAATTAAAAATTAATTTTACCGGTTTCATCCAGTGCAGTGTTGAAGTCCTGTACTAACCCCTCCATACTGTACGGTCGTAATCTGTCACTAAATCGGCGCTGCCGATCCACTGCCGAATGTGCCAAGTCAGCCGAAGGTTGCGACCAGTTGGTAGCGCGCGTCCAATCAAAAACCGGAAACTTTAGTTGGGAAAAATCCCGCTCGAGGCGCTGCTGGTCCATTAGAGAAAGCTGAAAAAAATTATTACAGAGCTGGAAACTTTTGTGTTGGAAGTTAATAATCCCGATTGCTTGATCTCGATATCCACTATGGACTCTTCTGATTTAATGATCTCTTCATTTCGGTTATTCCTCCAGGGTACAGTTACCATGGGGAATATCGATTAAAGATTAAGTTGATCTGCAGATTAAAAAAGCATGGATCCCGATATCCACAATACAAGAGTTCATAGCTCAGGAAATATTTACTTAATCTAAAATACTCACAATACTCCCATTTTTTGTATTCTGGCTTTCAGACACATTTTTTCGTGGTAAAGCCCATATAATAGATATCACTGTGGTTCCAAATTAAAATATGAGATTCTTAAATGCATGAAGATTAATGAAATATTTTTAATACTAAAAATAGTGTTTCGGATCCATTTGATTTTGATGGGGATCTGGATCTGGATCCTGTATCCAAAATGAAAAAAAGGATCCGGATCCGGGTAATTTCTTCAACATATACTGAATTTTTTTACAAAGCAGAAGTTTCAATTTTTTTGTCTTATTTGGTATCTCTTATTTTTATGCTAAAACTTGAGAACCATTCAGAAATAAAGATATTTTTAATCTCTCTTTTTTCAGTAGTTAAAATTTGGGTTTTGGGAGTAAACTTTTTTTTCAGTTTTTGGTTGATATTTTGCCCATTGGATCCGGATCGAGGAAGACAAAATCTTGCTGATCCAAATCCTAAGCTGGTTAAAAGTAGTCTCAGACAAAATTATTTTGAATCAGTTTTAGTAAAAATAAAATCTTGACTTGCCTTATTTGTAGTGTTTGACCTTTTCTAGGCAAAGTAGCAAGGAATCTGATCATGTTACAATCAAAATTTGTGTTTTTAAAGTTTTATTGTGCTGTACAGATGTCCTGCACAGCACAATGCACATCGTAAAATGTTCAGATTGCAGAAAGGAACAATTTGAACAGTGACACTGAATATCAATCCGTGAGATACTGTTGATTAAAGGGACTGTAAGCGTAATTTTAAAGTTACCTTCTATTTATAGAGTGGCATGTCTGATTTACAAAAATACCCTGTAAACCTTTGTATGATAAAGGGTTTTATAGATATTATTATTTATATTGCAGGAAATTAAGTGCAAAGAAACCGCGTGAGTTTGCACTAGCAGTGAGCACCCAGCACTCAATCTTCAGATATACATATGAGTGTATCTACCTCATTGTTGCCAGGTTTAAAACCATTATGGGATATATTTTAATTATTGAAGAGAATATCCTCCAGGTTGTGCACTCAAGATAATAGTCTCGTGCCACCTCATGTTCTACCCGAACTCTGAACTATAAATATAAACAGATATTCTTCCTGATCAACTCATCCTCCACGAACCTGGTTATCTCTCCCAGAACATATGGAATTATTCCTCTTCACTGAGCTGCTGCTCGTATCTTCATCTAGCTACAAAGTTTCTTCTGTAGCTGCAAAACCTCCGCCGAAGCTGCTGCCTCTCCTCCGTGGCTGCGATCTCTCCAACGTGGCTGTGTTCTCTCTGGACGAATTATATCTTTGCTTCTTCATCGATAGATCTCTTAGTTTAGAATAGACTAGTATTTGTTGGAGATCATGAAATATGTAATTAGATGTTTAATAAACCTTGAGTGCACAATCTGGAGCTAATAGGATATTCTTTTCAATAATTAAAATATATCCCATAATGGTCTGCAACATAAAGGCGATTACATATTTTATGTTAGGCTTATTTTATATAAAATCTAAGGCTTAACACTTTTATATGAAATTCTTGTTCTCAACTAAAATTGTTTAATATATAGTCTTCTCAGATAAACTCTCATCTTTATAATAAGATGTTTATAGGTTAGAATATCAGGAGCTCCAGTTCTTTCCTCAAGAACACTTGCAAAGCATCTCGTGAATCAACCTAAGAAACATTCATTTAAAGATCCTCAGATTGTTGTGAATCGGACATGCCTCTCAATAAATGAAAGGTCACTTGAAATTAAGCTTACTGTCCCTTTAAACAAATTGTTGAACTAAACGAACTTGGTGTGAAAAGATGGAATTTGATGGTCGGTCTAATAAAAAGTAAAAAATTACGAGAATAAAGATAATTGTGCTTTGAAGTTTTACTAAGCTACTTGGTGAAGGGCCCGTGTTGCCGGCTTTAGGGAACATATATATATGAATGCCTTGTTTTATATTTATCTATAAAGTTTAATAATTCATGGATTTCTTAAATAAATTTTGACTGATTTTCCTTTTCATTTCTAAAAATCTTAATTCTTGAATTTTGCCGTGTCGTGCGATTAGTTTTTTCCTGTCACTACTTCTTTCTCGGCTTTCCTTTCCTCTTCTTCTTCCCTTTCTGCCCTTTCTACCCTTTCCCTTTCTTCTTTTTCTTTCTCCCGTTTTCTGGCGCCAAGGTAGGCTTGAAATCTGGATTTATTGCTCACTTTAATCTAAAAAATTCAAGATTTAGAAAAAGATTATTTTATTAAAAAATGTTGTCCTGAGAACAGAATTGTATTCTAGTAAATGTTGTTTTATTATATCCTTATTTTAAAAAAGTTCTTAATTGAAATTTTAGATTTTTTACCTTCCCAGTAAATTTTTTCTCTTCCTTATTTCTGAATGGTAGAGGTTGCAACGGTTTCTCCTCTACTGTACTCTTAAGGAAATAGAAATTAAGTTATAACCCTACTGATTTAAGGGAGGTGAGATATTAAGTAATTGAGCCAAAACTTTTCTTTTTCGAGAGGGTTCGAGACTTTTTTGATGAAATTTTTAACCAGAATCAAAATATAAAATAATATTCTTGTCATAAAAAAACGTTTAAAAAACTTATAAGATATTGTAATGAAAAATTTAGCGTCTTTTAGATTAAAAATCCGCAATTGTGTTTTGCAAGAAATGCGCATTGAAGATTGTTTACATTACATAACATTTTAGCAAATGAACGACTTTTCAATGACAGCTTTTTGCACCAGAAAATTATCAAAACAAAAATTTATTCTATAGTTCATGAATAAAACAAAAATTGATACTGAAGTTCATGAATTAAGCAAAAATTCAAAATGTAGTTCATGAATCAAACAAAAAATTATGCTGTAGTCCATGAATAAAACAAAAATGTATACTGTAGATCATGAATTAAACAAAAATTTATACTATAGTTCATGAATCAAACAAAAACATGTATTGTTAGGGAGGTAAATTTTAAAATATTTACAAATGATTTGAGTATATCCGTCCATTTATACGTTTTACGATATTAAATTTTGTTCTGTTTTGCATCATTTGTTTGACATTTACCATTCAGTACTTCAAGACACGACTATTTTCATTTCATATATTTTGATGATATTTTTTCACTACAGTTTTGATCTGCACAAATAAGCAAAAATCTGATATTATCTCAATATTTTATAAATTGTATCAAGGAAAACTTTAAAACTGGTGCAAGACGGATTTGAAAAATAAATGTGTTTTACCTTTTCTAACGGTTTTATCTTATCTAGTCTACAGTTGTTAGAAACAACAGAAACCACCGTATTATTCAAAAATCTCCTAAAAATACAGAGATTGTTATTTTCAAGGGAAAAAGTAAAGATGGACATCACAAGGCAATTTCTTTTTATCCTTTTTGATACTTCTAACCTAAAAATTCATTTATTTTACTCAAATCAGCAGTTGAACAAAATAATTTTCAAAGTGCGTAGGGGTAAATTATTTTTTAAGAAAAGAAACAACCATGAACTCTGTAGCGTAAAGTCGTCAAATTGCTTTGTTGCAAGCATTTTTTAATTATGAAAAACAGAGAAACAAAATTATGAATTTCAGGAAAGTCAATTTAGCTGAGCATAATACCTTGACATGTCACATGCTGAGCATAATACCTTGATATGTCACATGCTGAGCATAATACCTTGACATGTCACATGCTGAGCATAATACCTTGATATGTCACATGCTGAGCATAATACCTTGACATGTCACATGCTGAGCATAATACCTTGACATGTCACATGCTGAGCATAATACCTTGATATGTCACATGCTTGGTATATTTTTTTTTAAGAACTGTAGGGATACCCGATTCCAATATGGGAGCTATCCTGTAAATCAGAAAATGATTTTAACTTACTTATTAAACCCTCTATGGTTAGGTTTGGCCCAACCCAATGAACCACCAATGTCTGCGCGTATAGATGCGCGTTTAGTTTCTTCAAATATTTCTTGAATCGCGCGCCTGAACAAAAAAAGAAATGAAGGTCTTCAATTGTAATATTATTTTCATCACTTGAGGTATAAAACTAATTTTTTAATAGATAATAATCAACACAGTTTTTATTTAGGACAACCAATACGTTTTTGTAGTTACTTTGAGTTAGGACAGGGTTAGCTGGAGTTAGGACAGGGTTATCTAGAGTAAGGAAAGGGTTAGCTAGAGTAAGGACAGGGTTAGCTAGAGTAAGGACAGGGTTAGCTGGAGTGAGGACAGGGTTAGCTAGAGTAAGGACAGGGTTAGCTAGAGTAAGGACAGGGTTAGCTAGAGTTAGGACAGGGTTATCTAGAGTAAGGAAAGGGTTAGCTAGAGTAAGGACCGGGTTAGCTAGAGTAAGGACAGGGTTAGCTAGAGTAAGGACAAGGTTAGCTAGAGTAAGGACAAGGTTAGCTAGAGTTAAGACAGGGTTAGCTAGTGTTAGGACATGGTTAGCTCGAGTTAGGACAGGGTTAGCTAGAGTTAGGACAGGGTTAGCTCGAGTTAGGACAGGGTTAGCTCGAGTTAGGACAGGGTTAGCTGGAATAAGGATAGGGTTAGCTGGAGTTAGGACAGGGTTAGCTAGAGTTAGGATAGGGTTAGCTGGAGTCAGGACAGGGTTTGTTTGAGTTAGACAGAGTAATCTGGAGTTAGAACAGGGTTAGCTAGAGTTAGGACAGAGTTTGCTTGAGTTAGAAAGAGTAAGCTTGAGTTATTAAAGGTTTAGCTTGAGTTAGACACAGTTAGTTTGAGTTAGAACAGGTTTAGTTAGACTTAGGTCAGGGATGTGGTTAGCTAAAGACAGTTCTAAAGGGTAAGATGGAATTAGGATAGAGTAAGCTACAGATCAGAACGGGTTAACTGGACTTAGGACAGTTCAAGCTAACTAGGCTCTGACAGTCCAATCATTTTATTTATTTTTTTCAAATTTTGGCGGATTTTTTTCCTTTCGCTCACCTTTTTATTTCGTCATCTGGGATGTTCAGGGACATTGTACGGAACTATTAACCATTCTTTAAATTCTGAAAATATATCATTTAAAGTAAAAAAAACTTTTTAAATGCAGTAGAAATATTGTTTTAAGTAAAAGAATAACATAATAAATGAAAACAAATTTCGGTAACTGGATGAACAGTGAATTACTTAACCTCTTAATTACTTCTCACTTCTGTAAATAAAAGCATGATTTTAAAGGTTCTATTGCAATTAGTATTGGTTAGAAAGGACATTTCAAAGACAAAGTAGATTTTTTATAGTCATTTACTTTCATAGACAGAGAAGAATTTTCATAGATAAGTATTTTCAAACGCACAAAAAGATTTTTTCGGAGACAATTTAAGGTTTTGGGTAAGAAAAAAATGTGTCACAGTTAAAGAAAATGTGAAGATGTAAACATTTTCAGCCTTCTTTTGAACTAAGGAACTATGTGTTGTACTGCCAAATCTGTAGATTCTTATCCATATCTGAAATTACTATTTATACATATATATTATATATAAGAAAATAGTATTAAAAACATGATTTGAAGTTTTATTGTATTAACATTATGTTTCATGCTATGCATTCTTCATATTCTGCATATATATATATATATATATAATATATATATACTAGCTTCAGAACCCAGATTTTAGCTATTTTTCCCTGTAAAAGAGGAGTGTAGGTCAATGTAGACCCACTGAACTTAGAATCTCAAACCCGAGCTATGATCCTTCCCGTGGTTTTCTCGAGTTTCCCAATTAAAATTTTACGCAAATCTGTCAAGATTATGAGTTATAAACGGACATCCAAACAAACTACTTTATTATATATATACATATATTTGCTTCAGCTTCCCAAACGTCAGAACCACATTTTTTTCATAAATTTAAAATTTCGAAGAGTTTTAGAATTCCACGGGCAACGCCTGGCACTTCAGCTAAGTATTTGTATTATAAAAGACAACCCAGCATTCATTAAAAGAAGTCCAAGTTGTAGAAAAAAAACAATTGTCATTAACAAAAACAACAATAGGTCCTGACAAAATAAAAATATAAATCTATTTTCTATAAAAAAATAAAGAAATAGACTACTGAAATATAATACGCTTTTAATGAACTGTACAGGTGTTATTTCAAACAACGGTGCCTTTAAAACCTTCATCGAAATATGGAAGATATTGTCGTTTTTCTAGCTTGACAAGTGTTTAATTCTAATAATTTTTACATTGAATTTCTTTAGCATAAATTCGCAAATCACTTTATTCTGTGAAACCACAGTTGCTAATAATCCGTTTAAAAGTTATAAACCTGGAAATCCAAACTATACTTGATGAGCTTAATTAAGCTCTTCAGGGTAGCCGTGTGTATCATGAATAAAGGGTCACTTGAAATATAATCAACAGTCTCTTTTTTAACTTTAAATTTAACCTGACGATATAACAGTATTCGGCAGAGTTGGATGGAAAACAGAACGCTTTATCCTGAAACCAAAAAAATTATTTATTAATATCTTTAAAGAAATAAAAAAATTTTTTACATAACTCTGCAAACATTCAAGAACAATTTCCAATAACAAATGTACATGTATAAGATATTTCTACATAGCTGAGAACTTTTGTGCTAGAGACTCATAATCCAGATCAATTGATCTCGATACTTTCAAATTATCTTTTCAATTTGGATATACAATTTCTCTGAGCTGAAAACTTTAGAATGGGAAATCCTTAATCCTGATCGGATAATTAATCTGGAGATAAAAAATGAGTGGAGAAGAAGCAATATTTAATCTCGAGATTAAGAAAAAGAGTGGATTAAGCCTTAATCCCGATATCCACCATTCTAAAGTTTTCAGCTCTGTTCTCTCATTGGTTAAACGCAAAATCCACAATTTCTCTTTCCTCTCATGGGTTAAACGCAAAATCCACAATTTCTCTTTCCTCTCATGGATTAAACGCAAAATCCACAATTTCTCTGTTTCTCATTGGTTAAACGCCAAATTCCTTGGCTTTTAACTGGCTGTTAGCAGATATCGGGGATATTAAATAAATATGAAAATATTCTGTGGATTTGATCTAGATATCCACAATGAAAAAGTTCACAGATCAAAAGTTCACAAAAGTAGTTTGATTAATATACATAGATCTAATATATAATATCTTGTGAAGATTATGTTCTACCTTGTTTTCTTGTGATACTGAGAATGACCCTCGTGGGTAAATATTAGTTTACAGGAAATATCGTAAACCTGCAACAAAATTATTTTTCATATACAGGAAAGTCAAAAACTACTTAATTTAGATAACATCAAAAGGGACATAAATATTCCACGATTATGAAGTTTTTTTCAACTGAAAATATTCCAACCTTTACTTGATCGTGTGAGTGTACTGCAAACTTTTGTGTTTGTTTACAAGTTGTCAGTACGGGGGCCGATGAACTGGTTTCAATTTGTCCCAGATAGATGGCGCTGAAAAAATACAAAAATTTGATAAAAGGGATTGTAGGCGTTATTTCAACCGACTTCAGTTACGGTTTTTTATAATTTATAGGCTTTTTTGATAATATTTCAATCCTTTTGAATGATTTATTAAACATTACCTTGCTGTTTCTTCAACACCATACATTTCCCCTAAAACAAAACAAAAAACATAAAAAAAAATTTCTTCATAAATTAGTAATATGGTGATACCACCTTTTAAAAAGGTGATGACTGAAATAAGCTATTCTTTTTAATTAATTTAATTTTAGCATTTCTTTAAAAAAATCCAATTAAGCTTTTTCATTTTATTTTACAGACTAAGTGGCCATCAACGTACTGTTAAGAGGTAACATTATCCACATTATCCCTTTTTTTAAGCCTTTGTTTGAACGAGCAAAATTAACGAATCCTCACTTTCTTGTTTTTAAAATGATTTCTTTCAAATTCAAATGCTATTTTCGTAAAAAGTCAAAAAACGAAAATAATAAAAATTTCTGCTTTTGAGATTAGAAGACGACCAATCATTCTAATTTGAAATCCATTAAATTGTTAAAGAAAATGTCAATGTGAATCTGAAAAACAGAAAGAAAATCTTTATGAGAAAAGAAAACGGCCAAATCATTTCAATTAAAAATCTTTTAATTTGTTAAATAAAATGTCATTGTGAAACTGTCATGTCACGTGTAAATGGACAGTCATATTAAATTATGCCAACAGTGACCAGTCCCTTAATTATTTCTGTACTGTCATCTTCTTATTTTACAGTTTTCTGGTGCCTATTCTACAGAAATTGTGCCCACGGTCCCTGAAAGGTTTGTAAAGAAAGCCTAAATGTGTAATTTGATAATTGGGAATATTTTAAGTACCCGACAGCTTTACAAACAATATTTATTTCGGTTTTTTCCTTTGCTTTATAACAAGCAATTAAAAAAAGAAGACTTAAATCACAATGAAAATTTCTTGATTTCATCATTAAAAATAGATTAAAGGTCGTTAAAAAATTATTAATATGACGTGCGTAGATTATTCAATAACAAGAATAAAAATATTTCCACCCTATTAACAGTTTTCAATCACAACAAAGATGAAAATATTCCATTCCCCCCCCCCCCTCTATCTCTTTCCATTTCTTAGACTTCTTCTGATTTTTAATTTTTCCCCCTAGAGCATCAACATGCATTCCCCCCTCCAAGAGTGGAGCGGGTAACTTTTTTTAAAAAACTGGATTTTTGAAAAATATATACGCAAAATTCCACCCATTTTAGGAATAAAATAAAGGTTTGATCTACCCACAAATTATTTTAAATCTAAAGCCCCCAGTGGCCGAATTTAAAGAATTTGAGCGGCGGTTTAAATTCAAACCGCGGATTTAATATTGTTGGTTCCACTTTAAATTGTATCAAATGTTTCAAGATTTAAGCCGGCACTTAATTTAAACCGGGTTTTGGCAGATTTAAACCGCGGCTCAAATTCTTTAAATTCCATCTCAGGTCTATTTGAGATCCTTTCGATATTTTTATCCATAAATCAGAGGAGAAGTAAATCCGGATCATTCAGTAATTAACGAAATTTGAAAAACTGCGATCATAAAGGAATGTTGATTTTTCAATGTTTTTTAAAACACGTTGATATGGGTATCAAAAGGCAAAAAACTAGTTTTTTTGATACTCTGACAAATATGTTTTTAAAAAACCCCGGTTTTTTACTTACAACTTGAAGGTTTCTAAATTTTCAAGAGATATTTGATATTCATCATAATTTATTTTGACATTTTTTCTGGCTTATATTAGTGATTTGATTTTCACACAAAAAAATCTAAATGAATATGAAAATTACGAGAAAAAAAATGTTAACAATTTCTTTTTTTAGTCATAAAATTTATCAATGAATTGTAAAAAAAAAAGTTAAAGAATGAGCCAAATAGTTTCACCCTAAAAAATCCTACCCTGAGCGTTGAGACCCAACAAAGAGACTCCAGAACCAGATTCTGTAAAATCTAAACTCCAGTCACCTGATTACAATCAATTAATCAATCAATCAATCAATAAAACTGTCGTAATAAGTGCAAAGGTACAGCGTTACCAAAAAAGAATGCAACTTCAGAGACGACTGTATGCCGTTTGTCTACTAGAATACTAATATGAAACAGAAAACAAAACTCAATTTCAAGCTTCAAATCGTCATATTTTAATAGTTTTAGTCGTTTTTACAGTCTCATCCTTTGTGGATATTGGGTAATTCTGTATAAATATATATATATAACAACCCTAAATCTGCAATCTCATTCCTTCTCGAGAAACTATAATCACTGGACCAAAAAAAAGGCAGTTACCTAAAGGAGTTACGTGCGCTTGCCGTGTTGAATTACAAGAAAGTGAGAGATTTAGAGATTTTAGGGTTAGGTTAGGTTAAGTCACTTATGGGCCGTGCGCTGCGGCTAGGACAGACTAGATGGCTGAGCACTGGGGCTAGGACAGGCTAGGGGGCCGAGCAACGCACCTAGGACAGGCTCTCTTTCTGTCTTGTAATTCAACGCGGCATGTGCGCGTAACTTCTTTGGGCTCCTGCCAAATAATAGCAGGTTACAACGTTTTTATTCTTTCTTAAAGGGAATGTATTTGTAATTTCATGGGACCCTTCCTTTACAAATCTGGGTGTCCGATTTAAAATGGTTCCTATGAAATCTTTCGAAGAGGATATTAACAATAAACAGTGTTGAATTCTGTTTATTTCTACTTTGTTTCTGGTGCAAACCACCCGTCACTTTCATAAGAGATTAGTGAAACCACATTTCAAAATCATTAACTTTTAGAGGGAAAAACAAGGATGTCATCAGTGTTTTTGCTTAAAATAAGGTTTAAAGGGTATCGTTGTAAATCGTAATTGCGTCAGTGCGATAAGTTTCCAATTATAAGAAGAACCAGTTTTGACTTGTTTTTTTATCATTTTTTCCCAAATCTTGCAAATCAGATAATCGTTTATAATCATAATATTGATAATAATATATTTCGACTTTAAATTTACAAAGATTTTTTTACAATTCAGTCGAGGACTAAATGGTCTGAGACCGTTATAAAATGCATAAAAAATACATAATAAAATAAATGAACATTGGCGCTGGAATAACAAAAGCAAACAAATAAGAAAGAATACGAGCAGGGATTAGTGATTTCCAGAATACATTAAATTAATTTGAAGGTTAAAGAATGAAAAGTGATGCGAGAGAAACAGTTATTATTTAATTGGAAGAATATGTTTTCTTCTTTTAAAATAAATTTTAATAAACTGTTTCAAGCCAGGGTTGGCAGCCCCCAAAAAAAAACAATACAACCCACTAAAAAAAAACCACCTGCAAATGGACTTTTTGTGGTTTTATTAAGGTTTATTTTTAGATTTTTTTCTAATGATTGCCCTCTTTCACTCTTTTAATGATAAACTCTTTAAAAATATGGATTTTTAGGGAGTTTACATCACTAAAACTGACACATTTATTATCTTCTCTCGAGTTTTCAAAATATGTTGCGATATAATAAGGATATAAAATCCTTTCATCGTTTTTATGTGAGAGTGATCTGAAGTTTTTCTGCATTAAACAGTGGTCTTCCTTCTTGAACATATAAATATCTACCATTAATCTGAGTAGCCCCACCCCCAATCAGAAATATGTATCCAAGTAGGAAAATGGAAGTAGTCTGAAATTCTTTGAACTAAAATATCAAAAAATTGCAGTATTCCCCCTAGGGAGGTTTAGAACCCCATAAAGGTCTTGGAGGCCCTCGGTTTTCCCCTCAATTTAATTATCCTCCCTTAATCTTAGGCCCCTTATGCAGAATGTAGGTGATATTATTGTATTTGAAGAGTATTTAGTATGAGTATAATAGCCTATTATCACAACAATATTATTATTTTTCATAACTATAAAGTTCACCTATTGCTTAAATAGTCTTATTATTATAAATTAATATTAGGTTTCAACTACTTTCAAATTGAAACCCCCCCCCCCCCCAAAAAAAAAAACAATAAAATCAAATACAACCCACTGGGCTGTGTTTTTAAACCCGGGTGTTTTCCAACCCTGTTTCAAACCCCTCTTTATTATTTCTCCTTGCAAATGCAATGCCATTAAACGAATTTTAGTTAAGCTTATGTATATCGTTTTGAAACTTGATTATCTTTGATATGGTTGCCCTACGTTTTCTACTGCAGGAACACTATGGGAATTATTACAATTAAACATTTTTGGACTTAAAAGGAAAAGGCCATTTGTTCCCACTTATTGACCAGATTAAAGTTTTAAGGGTAACATGGTGAATCTGACATTGACATCTATGCGTGGAGGGTCACTTGAAATCACGAGTATAGTCCCTTTAAATTTGTATCTAATTACTGACCTTGAGGTAGTTTTTGTTGATTAATAATATTTCCAGACCTGACATCTATACACTTGATCTCACCACTACTAGACCCTAACAAAAAGAAATAAAAAATTGTGTTCTTATTGGTTATTTAATATATTTACATTTCATATTTTGCACAAATCATGCCATTATGTCTTACTGTAATTTTACTGATTATAAGATAGTATACTAAATAGAGAACCCAACGTTTCCCAGGGTACTCATAATTACTCCCACCGTTTACCCGCGCTTGGAAGTAAATTACGATTTTAGATATTTTTCCCTATAAAAGTGGACCGACCCACTCAAATTAGAATCGCAAGCTTAGAACATTACCGCGGGTCTCCCAAGTTCCCCAATCAAACTTGAGGAAAATCAGTCAAAGGGTTCCTGAGTTATGATCAGACATCCAAACAAACAAACCTTTATAGAGAATAAATCTTTATACATATAGATATATCTATATATAAATTTGGCTTGTCTCTTTGTCTGTTTGTCTGTTTGTTTGTTTGTTTGTATCCAATAAACGTCAAAACGGCTGAACCGATCGGGCCCAAATTTTTTGTGGGACATCTAGGGACCCCAGGGAAGGTTTATGAAAAATNATTCAATTCAATTCAATTCAATTCAATTCAATTCAATTCAATTCAATTCAATTCAATTCAATTCAATTCAATTCAATTCAATTCAATTCAATTCAATTCAATTCAATTCAATTCAATTCAATTCAATTCAATTCAATTCAATTCAATTCAATTCAATTCAATTCAATTCAATTCAATTCAATTCAATTCAATTCAATTCAATTCAATTCAATTCAATTCAATTCAATTCAATTCAATTCAATTCAATTCAATTCAATTCAATTCAATTCAAGAAGCTAGAGAAGTCCCGTGGGCTCCTCGATCTAAATGGGTTACGCCATCACGATCCCGTCTAGATCAAGGCTTTTCTGTCTGACATAGTTAAGATATAACGTTGGGTTTCACGACCAAGTTTGAGCTGTGATTCTGGATTATACTCCTTCCGCCAGCGTATTGCCAACCACCAGCGTATTGCCAAACAAAGTATTTCTAGCGTTAATTAGATGCTGGTGGATTGAGCTCCCCTTCCGGGTGTACATGACCTTGACCACCAACATGGCCTCGACCACCACAATAACCTCAACCTTTACCTGTAATGCAGGCTGTATCGTGATCTACATAGAAATCTACAATCTTGAGGCAGGATTTTATTTGTCCTCCATCCCCCAGAACATCTTCACCAGCCTCTACAAAAAATTCACCAATTGAAGAGGTTTATGGGATTTTATCCAAATAAATATTTCATGAAAAGGATTGTCAGCTTAATTTCATCAAAAACATATTTCTTTAAATCTTGAATTCAGAGTCACTATTGTAACCTTTGAGTGACCTTCCAGTTTAAGAGAGCCATACTTATAACGCAATTCAAAAAAGTACACATCAAAATTATTGTCTCATCAAAAGAGTTGTTTTTCTAACTTAGTTCTGAAATATCCTAAATTTTTTATTTTGAAAGTAACTACTAAACAGTAACAATACTGATTATTAATCAATTTTTAAAAAGAAAATGAAGAATATTTTATGCATTCTTGTTCAGACAAAGCTTTTATGGGTACCATTGTGAATCAGACACTCCAATTCATAAAAGAATGATAACTTCAAATTCAGTCACCTAAAAAATCAAATACACACCCTGCATGTTCCAGATCTGCAGATTAGGTTCACCATCACTGGAAATCAGCTGTCCCTAAACAATCACTGAATGGAAATCGGCTCTCCCTAAACTAGAGAGGTTACCGGAACTTAAAATTATCCTGCTAAGACCATCCACTGATCCAGTATCAAGCTGAGTTTGTCGACTCGTTTCAGCAGTACTTCTTTATAACGTTGTCTACCCCCTAAGATTCCGGTGAGGGTTGCCATGCTACTTTAGGCCTTTCCTGTCATGAGGGGTTTTAATCCTGATGCTGACCTCTCATAGGCCATTGCCTGACAAGATACGAAAACATGATTTTCAGAAAGGTGGTTAACTAACCCCTTGTTGTGACAATGTGGACACCACTTTGTAGCAGGGCCATATGTTTGCCAAGTCCTGCATCTCCTGCTCCAAGTATGTTTAAAAGTCCTCCTGCCTTGCCGTCACATACATGCAATGATGCAGCTGAAGTTTAAACCAGACTTTTGAGGTGGACATGCAGTTAAGAGACATCAACTGACGTTTCTGCTCCAAGACCCCTCCTACCGCCACTTTGGTGAGCCTCCTCTTCAACCTAGATTTCGAACCATTAAAAACAGATTAACTCTCAATTCAGCTACCAGGTCCCCCCACAATTCTCGCCCACAGGTCGTCATGTGCTCTGATAACCGCATAGAATAAATTGGTTAGGATAGGATCCTGTTTTTATGCATGATCTCCCACACACATAATGCTACTCTCTCATTTATCCTGTCGTTCATTGGTTTGAACCCTGCTTCCATGACCCTTGTATCCTGCTACTGTGGCTGCTGAGCTTGGTAGTTGAAGTATAAAACACAGAGCTCTTCGACTGCATAGTCTGTGCAACTGTAGACAATAATACCTAACTATCTTGGAGTAAAGTATTAACTGTTACAGTCTCTTTTAAAAATCAATCTTAGGCCGTGTGATTGTGAACAGTTACCCACTGAAATATTCTTATAAAGCATAATATCTTGAAGTACCTGTGTATTAAACTGAAGTTTTACTATGGGAGTTCTAACAATGCTTCCTGACACCAATTTGAAATCTCGAGAGTTATTCAAACCTAGAATTACAAAAACTAAATTTAACTTATCATGAAAAAAAAACCTTCTTTAGGTTTTTATGATACGGTAGGAATTTGGTTCATTATTGAAAATTAGGACACTTTTTTACAACCATGCTCTAACCAGAAAATCTATTTCATCTTCCACAAAAAAATCATTAGTTACAACCTTAAAACGCAAATAACAGCTTTAAAAATATTTTTTTCAAAAGGGTGGGGATTCTTTTTCAAGAGAGATGTTCATAGATGAGTTGAGGGAGGGGGGGAGGGATTTTTTTATAGTCACCCCTAAATTATGAACTTCAAGTGGGATTTATCACCTTCATCTTGATCACTAGTACAGAGAAGTTTGGAGGGAAGACGGTAAACAGAGATTTCATGTTTAGTGGCACATCTTGGATTCGGACCTTTTATACAATACATTCACTTAAATACTAATTATATAAGAAATTAAACAAGAAAAAATAAGTAATAAAAAAACTTACTCTCAAAGAATTTACTTTTTACATTCTTACCTAACTGCCATCTTTGTATTGGATGCAAGGGGGGTCCATATAATGACATTCCAAATAATGATTGATTGATATTGGGTTCAGAAATTAACCATGTTGTAAACAATTGGAAGTATGATGTCAAGTTGCATAATGTGGATATTTGGATGTGAACAGTTGGTTACAAACAAACTTTATTTTAAAATGTTTGGGCATTTTAAAGTTTTAAAAAAGAGTTCATTGCTAAAACTGTCCGATGCAATTGCATACAATAATATTTTATTCTATGCAATTGCCAAATTTTTACACGAAAAATTAACAAAAATTAAATGATTCTAAGATGTGTGTACTGTACTATTCCTGATAAAGCGAGTAGGTCTCCTCCTGCCTTAAGTACAACAGCTTCTGGTTGTACTGGCAGATTGTACATAAGTAGATGCTTGTACATAGAAATAGATTTATAGAACCAATCATCGCTGCTCTCTAAAATATATATATAAATACAGGGTGTCCCATGAAACATAACATTCGCAAGACGACTTCAAGGTCGTCTTTGATTTTCGAAATACTTTATGTCTTGTCTATTGGGTCCAAAAACCGTTCTATGGGAAATTACCTCGTGGGAAACCTCTTATAATATGTATAATCGAAAAAAAAATCTGAAATTTTAATCCAAGAAACACAAACTCAAATAAAATGACCAAGACATCAGGTTATGATTTCCTTATATACGAATTTTGGACCAACCCCCCCTTCCTAACAATTTTGTACATGGATCTTATCTGTAAGATATAAATATAATTAGTCATGTGGGTGGTCGCATGCCCGGCCCCCATAACCTGTCCTTCGCCGCGGCGCTCGGCCCCCATAGCCTGTCCTAGCCGCGGCGCTCGGCCCCCCTAGCCTGTCCTAATCGCTGCTCTCGGCCCAGTAATTGTCTTATTCTAACCTAATCCTAAAATAATAGTAATAACTTAAAATTAATGGTCATGTACAAAATTGATAAGATAGGTGGGACCGGGGGAGGGGGGGGGTCCAAAAATCATAAACTAATCATTTGAGGGCAACTGCAAAAAAGTACAAATAATCTCCAAGTAGACATTCATGAACATTTAATAATTTTATAATTTCATGAGTCATTCGAACTGTGCATAAATTCACAACTAAAGATCATAATTAAAATTTAATGAATAAAATAAAACCTGTATCTATATCGCTGGGTGTCTCCAACCACGGACATGATATCATTTCTTCAATCATTTTTTTATTTCGTAATTTTTATGATTTCTTTGAGAAGGTCCACGCATGCGCAGTAATGAAAACTTTGACATTATAATACATGGCCAAGGATTCAAATATACGTTCTACGCAGTTTTGAGAATAAGTCGCCCTTTTATTGTAATGCTTGCATTTATTTCTTTTTAAAAATGACTTTTATGCTTAAATTTGATTTAAATTATTTAAAAATTTAATTTTGATTGTACGTAAATATAAATAAATTTACACAACTGCGTAGGTACAGCCTTAACAAGATATTGCCGTATCTAAATGGGAATTGACCAATGATTACGGTATTTTTACCATTTTATGCGCATTGATTGCTGAATTGAAAGAGTTATTACGATTTCTAGTGATTATTTTAATCAAAGTGAAGATTTTTTGTTTAATTTTGGTTATAAAGTAGAATAAAAGGATTCTCACCCATTGAAATTCAAGTTTGAATACATAATAATTTCTCTTTAAAATATATTATACAGACATGATCGATAGCTAATAAAAAAATCAATGGATACATTTTAGGTAGGATTATTTTTGGGCCTAGTACCGAGGCTAAAGGACAGGCTTGGAAGCCGAGCCTGTGGCCTAGCAATTTTAATTGGCTGATTTTTATGAATAAGATCAGCCATGTTAGTAATTACTTAAAAATAAGCAAATATGCCATTTACTTCATTTTTCAATTATTAATTACTCCTTTTTTATCAAAAAAAAAACATTTTCAGAGGTTTGCAAGTCTATCTGGCCATCCTGTCGTCAGGATTAGTCTTATCGGCCAGACTGACGATTTGCTGATCTCGCCGGGGTCTCTTGGACGATAATATGGCAGAGTGGCAGAAAACAGTGCCGTGCAGGTTGGTTTAGAAACAATCTGATAGCTATTGGGAGCATAAACAATTCAACTGTAAAAGAATGATTTTCTACCTCATTTGCCTTCTACTTTGATTATCATGGCTTGCGAACGTTGTATATTTTGATATGTTAATCAATTTCTAATAACAATTTAAAATTTAATTGAGAAATATTCTCATTAAGACATTTACACCCTCAAAGACAATTCTAACAAATCAGATTTCAATAAATAATTTTTTTATTAGCTCGTTAAAAATTTGTCTTTAAAATAAAATAACCAACCCTTGATTAAGTTATTCCATTGCACATTTTATGTTCAGGTACTTCAAGTTTGGATCATGTACCCGGGGGGAAGCCTGCCCCTACCTTCATGTACCAGAGTACACAGAGAATACTGAGTACAATCAAGAAGAGGGGTACATAGAGTACACAGACGAGAATCAGTATGGTACCGAAGACGTGATGTATGGTACCGAAGATGTTCAGTACGGTACTGAAGACGTGCAGTACAGTGCAGAGAATGTACAGTTCAGTCCCCAAGAAGACTATGCGACTAGTCTTACAATAGGAGTTGGAGCATTAGGAAAATAAACATTAAAATTTTAACTTAAAAATATATTTTTAGGCATTTTTAAAATACATAAAGGGTAACCCATAAAATAACAAGACATGCATGCGATCTTTTTTTTGATGCGAGCTTGATATTTATAAGCAAAAAGCCTAATTTGCTACAAAATAACAACAAATATATAAAACATGAGCCAAACTATTTAAAATTTTCTAGATTGAGTTTAGGTAATTTGGCAAAAATAACAATTATAAAAACTACCAAAAAAAAAACAAGCATGTATTGCAACACCAGAGAAAATTAATTCTATGAGAGGATAAATTATATTTTCAAAACAAAACATATTTTCTTCAGAATTAAAATTTTCTAGATCAAGTTTAGCTTATTTTACTCAAGAAAGGTACAAACAAAAATAAAAACGTGTATGCTAAACTGGAGAAATTGGTAAGATACGAGTTGGTGACGGAAATTTCCTCTAAGATGCGTTCTCCAGTTTTTTAGAAAATGAAAAGATTTTAGTTGATTTGTTATTGTTTGTTTGATTAGGATTAGATCCGTGTCAAGATCCCAATTGTCCAGAAGAGGAGAATGCTTTTTCTTCTCCACAGGTTAGGCACATCCCGCGGACCCCCCATAGTTTAGCCAGTGTTTTGGGAAATCATTCATGCAAAAGTGCATATTTTCTTGTAAAATCATATCTCACCACACACCCTGCTCCCGCCCGAAAATAATCTCATTTATTTCCTATATTGCAACAAGGTCAGGGGGTTTTTCTGGGGGGAAAAGGGATTTTAACGGAAAATGAATCAAATTTAGGGTAAAAAGAAATGAATCAGGAAAAGATTGAAACATCTTGCATCTTGATGTCCAATGTTTCATGGTTATCCTCAAATCTTCTAAAATCATTGCTTAACAATATATATATAGCATACACTACTGCATTGACGTTAATGTAATAGATTTGACAGTTAAATCTAATCAATTTTGCTTTGCCGCCTCCCCCCCCCCCCTTNGGGGGGGGGGGGGGGGGGGGGGGATTATGCAAAAGTGATCAGATTTATCCATCAAATCTACTACATAAAGTCAATGCAGGAGTGTGCTGGGGAAGGAGGGGGGGGGGGTAAGAAGAATTTCGTGTGTACATCGACCTCAACCTTATTAAAAGGCCATTATTTTAGTAAAAAAAAAACATTTGTTTAGGAGGTTGGTGGAGCCGGGGCCTTGTATCCTGTGTCCCCCACCTATATTCTCTATTCTCCAGTGTTTCATTCACCAAGTCACCCGGTCATTTCACCCGGGATATCTGTATTATCACCCGGACCTGTGGTTTTGTCACCCGGACCTGGTGTTCTGACACCAGGGCACTCTGCGCTCTCACCCTCTCATACTTTCATAGCTGATGATATTCAGTGCAGTCAGGTATACGCATATTTTTAATAAGAGTAGAACCATGGAGAGGGGTATAAACATATGTTCAATAAGAGTAGATCCAAGGAGAGGGGTATAAACATATGTTCAATAGGAGTAGAATCAAGGAGAGGGGTATAAACATATGTTCAATAAGAGTAGATCCCAGGAGAGGGGTATAAACATATGTTCAACATGGGTAGAACCAAGGAGAGGTGTAAAACATATGTTCAATAAGAGTAGAACCAAGGAGAGGGGTATAAGCATATGTTCAATAAGAGTAGAATCAAGGAGAGGGGTATAAACATATGTTCAATAAGAGTAGAACCAAGGAGAGGGGTTTATATATATATAATCAATTTATTATTTAATTTAAAAAAAAAGATAAAAATCCTCGTGCATATTTATATTTATATATTATATATAAACTAAGATGATGCTCTGATTATTGATTTATATTTAAATATATTTTTATACAAAAATTCAGTTCCTGTGTAAGAACTGTACGGAAACTTGAAACAAACTCTCTCTTTCTCTTCTTACACCTTCTTGATTTGTTCTGCATCCTTGAAAATAGAAAAAAAATCAATAGTTTAGAATTTATTTGCAAAAATATAAATCTACAAAATTATCTCTTTTTTCCAGATTTTCCCGCCAACACCGGACAGTTCCTTTAATAGTGCTTTAAGGAAATTATCATTTGTACCTCTTGATGCCGGATTTTCAGAAATTCAAGTTTTTAATTTAAACTCTTTTTTTGGGGGGGGGTCTTGTTTTTAAAGATTTCTTTGGTTTTTTTCCTTAATGAATATTTTTATCTTGTTTATGGGGTTTAACTTTAAGGTTCTTGTAACTCTAGTTTTAAAGAACTTATCTTTCACGTAATGGTGTTTAAAATGATAAATGCCTGAATAGTTCATCCTACCCCTCAACATCATCATATCTTCATCCATCTTGCTCTTCTCATCACTCATCCCATCCCTCTTTCACCCTCCTTTCTACGGCAACACCCATTTCTTCACCTTCAACTGTACTCAATCTTACCCAGCCGAAATCAGACACACCCCTGGCAGTTGAAACTGCAACAACCTCTGTGATAAATAGAGCCGACCCTAAGGCCCCTAGTCCCATCAGCATAAAGCCCCTGAACCCTGATCCTAAGGAGTTCATTCCCAGAGGGTCAGAAGTTTCTCAGACTACGCCCCTATTGACCAAATTAGACCCAAATCCCCCCGAGTTTACTCCCCTCACGACCAAATTGAACCCTGACCCCCCTGTGTTTGTGCCCCTGAAACGGCGGAGTGAGTCCTGGAAGGTTCCTGATAACTGGGCGGAGGCGGCGGAGTTCGTTCCTAAGGTAAACCACAATTTTGTAAAGGAACTGGAAACCCCCATCTTCCATGCTGCTCGTTAAATCTTTAACGGTAAAGAATTATTAAGATATCGTCATTTTCCTCTCTTGGGAAGTTTTGCATTACTAGACATATGTATTTTATTTTGATTGATATGATCGATTTATTGATTGATTGGTTGATTGATTGATTGATTGATTGACTTCACTTTGGTTACCTCCATTTTCTAAGAACAATCCATTTTGAAACTAGTTTCCTCCTTTTTGTAAACCCCTTCCCCCTTTTGAATCTTTTGCGGTCGTAGATATAGTCGTTTTTCTAGCTTAAATATTGAATTCCTTGATAAAGTTGCTCTTTATTATGGTTGGTTGATTGATTGATTAATATTTGTATTCAGGTTGAGACGAAGTCTCGAAGCTGGGCCCAGGTTGTAAACCCTAATCCTCAGGTCAGTTCTCTCAGTTGACCCATTACGCGCGGAATCTTTGTATATTTGTTGACCATTGCGTGCGTGCGCTCGGGTTGTGCAAGGAAGATACACCATGAATCAGGGATTCAGGAAACTCTTTGTTTGCAGAAAAGTTTGCTGCTATGGTGAATTTTTGAACAATTCAAGTGATATTCTGGCCTTGGATGTAATGCAAGGAAAGTTATTTCAAAAGGTACGCATCTTTTGTACTTCAATGTACTGTCACTGGGCGGTAATGTAAACACAAGACGGATGTCGAAGCCTGACATGGGGTCCATCTTTCACATAAAAAATCGATGAAATATTCTGGTCATAGGAAACTATTATCAAAATTATCAAAATTATCAAAATTTAATGCTTTAAACCTCCTCGGATACTAAACGAACACTAATGCATCTATTCTTGTTTACAAATTCCGCCCAAAGAGAACTGGTTTCCATATGTACACAGAGTATACACGACCGCAATTAACTTTCCTTGCATTACATTCTTGATTCTGGCTTACTTCTTATTTGTATATACCTCCCATTATTGCAGTACCTTTTTTTGGATTTGTGGTTCATGGTGTATCTTCCTGGAGAACAAGAGGTTATTAAGGAGTCTATATCTTCACGAATACCCCTCTCCCTGATAAAAATTTATTCTTAGCTGGTTACTTCTACACGGACGGAATGATATTAATTAAATGCGACTAAAAGTGTCCCTGTTAAAATTAGAACTTTAAAAAGTGTAAATATAAACAATTTTAAATTTTTTGAATATTATTTTGAAAGATTGAAGTTATCATAATTACAAGCCAAGTTTATCATTAGAAAGGCTAATTTGGCTGAACTCCTGATATGCAATATCTATTCTGTTTTAGGCTGAGAATTTGACTTTAAGTCAAAGTGAAAGCGAGCTCTGCCCTTATTTTAAGTCTGGAGAATGCAGGTAGGTTTGGAATTATATAATTGTGGGATTAAAGGGACTTAGACGTTATTTCAAGTGACACTGTTTTTAAAGGGCGACATGTCCGATAATTGATATCTTTGTTTTCTATCCGAAAATTTCCAACTTTCGATTTTCGGTTTCTTTAATTTACTTGCAGACTTATGCAGCAGAGATAATTTATTTCGGGATACTGAAGATAAACAAATATCTTTGTTATTGTTACACGGATAACATCTTAGTATTAGAGTGTGTAACTATTTAAATGAAAGGGTCAGTTGAAATTACGTTTTTAGTTCTTTCATATTTAGTCTACATTCGGTTTTAGATTCAATACTTTAACCTTTTCTCGTAATATTAAGTAAACAATCCCTTTAGATATGACAGTATGTGTGCTTATATACACGGAGATAGATGTGAATACTGTGGAATGAACTGCCTTCACCCTCATCAGCCAGAGCAAAGGAGGCTTCATATGCTGGTAATATTCATTTATTCATTTATTCATTTATTCATTTATTCATTTATTCATTTATTCATTTATTCATTTATTCATTTATTCATTTATTCATTTATTCATTTATTCATTTATTCATTTCATTTCATCCCTTCGTTCCTTCATTCCTTCATTCCTTCATCCCTTCATTCCTTCATTCCTTCATTCCTTCATTCCTTCATTGATATAGTTGCTCTTTATTTTGGTTGGTTGATTGATTGATTGATTGATTGGTTGCTTGGTTGCTGAAATGCTTTGTTGCTCAGTTGCTTGGTTGCTTAAATGCTTTGTTGCTCAGTTGCTTATTTGCTTAGTTCCTCAGTTGCTTAGTTGCTTAGTTGCTTAGTCATTTAGTCAATTATTCGTTTATTTATTTAACCATCCAATTGTTCATCTTTCCATTTATTCACTCACTCACGTATCCATCAGATTCATGGGATCCGTTCTTTTTCTTCTGGACAATCTTCCATTATTAATATTCCATGAAGTGTGTGATCCAAACAGGGCTCCCTCGCTTTTAGGCTTACATCTCAGTATTTAGAGGGAGTGACTTATCGACTTAGACTGATAGGGACTTTTTAAAATTGATTAATTAATTAGATAGATAGTCACTGGTGGCGGTCTTTTTCTGAGGGGGGGGGGGGTTCACGTTACATTTATTATGAAATCACCAGTTATAATGTAGGATTGTTTGGGTGAGCATGAACGAGACATGGAGCTGAGCTTTGCTGTAGCCAGGAGCCTGGATAAGACCTGCGGGATCTGTATGGAAACTGTCTTGGACAAGGAGAAAGGAGAAGCGAGGTTCACTTTAGTATTTTTTATTTTACCATACTTATTTAAAAAAAAAATTTAAATCTTTATTTATTTTACCTCTCAGAATGTACGTTTTTTCCTTTACATTTAAAGATATGCTGAACAAATGTTGTATTTCATTTTATCGATTCACACCTATACGTTCTCATCGTTCAAAAATAGAAAAAACTTTTCCCATTTTTTTTAACCTCTTTTTGATCTAGAAGTGACATAGTTCAGTTAAAAATAAAACCTTATTGGTCAACCTTGTCCGAAATATTTTTTTTTTAATAATATGTAGAATCTTTTGTGTTGTAAACCTCTTGATCAAGAATTTAAATCCTTTTCTATATCCCGTGGTGGTCACTGGTCACACCCTGCAGCAATAACTTCAATTGATAGATCGAGCATTTATCCTCAAATGTAAAAGTGTCCAAAATGGATATCGAGAACTAGTTTTGTAAGATTGACGATACTTCACAAGAAAGTTCCGACCAAATTTACCAAATTTTGTATTAGTATTTGTTCACTTTGAGTTAAAAATGTGAGCGTCCCTAAATTCATTAATTGATTAACTGATTGATTGATTGATTGATTAACTGATTGATTGATTAGGTTTGGTATTCTACCATCCTGTACCCACTGCTTCTGTCTTCCTTGTATAAGAAAATGGCGGCAAGCAAAACAGTTTGAACATAAAATAATCAGAGCTTGTCCAGAGTGTAGGTGAGATTGGGATGGGATGGGATGGGATGGGATGGGATGGGATGGGATTGGATGGGATGGGATGGGATAGATTGGGATGGGATGGGATGGGAAATGGATGGGATGGGATGGGAAATGGATGGGATGGGATGGGAAATGGATGGGATGGGAAGGGATGGGATGGCGTATTGATTGATTGATTGATATGATTTACTGACTGATTGATTGAGTGATTGGTTTATTTATTTATTTATTAAGGCAAACTTCAGATTTTATCTGTCCAAGTAGATTCTGGGTTGAGACTGTAGAAGAGAAGGATAAACTCCTCACAGATTACAAGGTAGAATAGGAGTTTGAATTTTCTTTCAAAATAATCATGTTCACGTTTAAATGATAATTTCCATTTGTTCATGTTAAAAAGGCACTTTTCTGTTTTTTTAATGATTTAGAAAACCTTGGTGTGAAGAAGTGTAAATATTACAACAAGGGGGTGGGGGAATGATTATTATTATTATTATTATAATTATTATTGTTATTGTTATTGTTATTGTTATTGTTATTGTTATTGTTATTTTTATTGTTATTGTTATTGTTATTGTTATTGTTATTGTTCTTGTTATTGTTATCGCTATCGCTATCGCTATCGCTATTGCTATTGCTATTGCTATTGCTATTGTTATTGTTATTGTCACTATTACACTGTCACTGTCATTATTTTTACAGTAAATATGAAAATTTAGAAAAACCTTGGTTTGAAGGAGTGTAAATATTTCAACAAGGGAGTGGGGGAGTGTCCCTTCGGAAACAAATGTTTTTATAAACATGAAGACAAGGACGGAAGGTGAGATTAATTATTAAAGGGGGGGGGGGGGACGAAACGGATTACTCTCTGGGAAATTTAATCAGTGTTTAAACAGAACTTAGCATTGTCATAGGAGGCTCAATTTTTGCATGCAAACTTAAAAGTTAAAATAATGCAAATTACATGCATTTTTGGTTTTAAACCGATCTGAGCAAAAGTGCGCGCGCTTTTTGTGAAAAAAAATACAACTAGCGCGTTGTTAGAATGCTCCTATGTTAATGTTGACCTCAGAAATGGAATCCTCGTGCCCAATTATATATTCATAGACATACAACATTTAAAATATGTGGGAAGATGACCCATAATGTAACTGCCGTGTGCAGGTCAAAATCCTCCAATATTATTTGAGCTCTGAAATGGAATCCTCGTGCCCAATTACCTATAAATCAACATACAAAATGTAAAATCTGTGTTAAGATGACCCAAAATATAATGGTTGGCTACTAGCGCGACGGTGAGAATGCTCTAATTTCTATTTTGACTTCGGAAATTAATTCCTTGTCCCAATTTTGCTATAGACTGATCTCATGGTACTTATTCAAGTGCAATTAATTAATTTAAGATCGATCTACTGTCGAAAAAGTTGTATTTTTTCACAAAAAGCACGCGCACTTTTGCTCAGATCAGTTCAAAACCAAAAAATTCATGCAAAAAATCAGCCTCCTACGAAAATGCTAAGTTATGTTTATACACTGTTTAAATTTCCCAGAGAGTAATACGTTTCGTGCCCCCCCCCCCCCCTTATTAAAAATGTTATTTTCAACATAATTGATTATTATGTTTATTTTTATTATTGTTTTTGTACAAATGCGGAGAAAGGTTAGATACAAATGTCATTTTTATTCTTGTATTATTACGTTAAATTCTATTGTTATTATAATTATTTACATTACTGTTCTTTATCTGCAAACTATTTGTTTGTTGTTTTTATTTGTGTTAATTGGTATTGTATTTTTTGGCCATTTTTTTTTTCTTTGATATTATCTTAGTTATTATATTATTGTTATTTTGTAGAGTGATAGATGTTGGACCTCCTAAGAAACCTGCACGCCGAACCAATGCTGAGGGAAATCTAAGCTTAGTTCAGCGTCTTCTGCTTTATGATTTCCTAGAGGTAACCCCTCACTCCCACAAATTTTTAAAGATCTGTTGAAAAAATTAAAAGACGTGGATGGGGGTAAAATATTTTTTCAAGAAAATACACACCCCCTGAAAAAGGTTATTAAGTGTAGTAGTTTTTTTAGGGTAAAAATAATTAGTTACCAAAGCATACGTGTCAAAGGAATGTATAACAGTAAAACCTGTCCAGTTCGTTCATCAAATGCAGGGTTGTTCGTTAATAATGATATTAATGATTGCCATGAGCGGGGAAAAAAGCCTATTGCAGTAATGATGTGGCTCGCCTTCACTTTATCATTGCCGCAATACGGACTTATGTAAAATATTATTGTCTTTGAAAATTTTTGGATTCAGACTTTTCGTCTGCAATATTGTTGATCTTTTTGTTTTAAGGAACGGGACGGACAGCTGGTGTTTCCGGTCGACTTTGTCGAACTATTCGATCTCTACTCGGACTCAGACGACTGGAGCGACGGAGATGACGTTTAATGACGATACGCTAGCAGTGTTTCGACTGCGGAGAGTCCAGATAGAGTGCAGATAGATTGCAACATGAAATTTTGTTGAATTTAGTAATTACAATATTTTTATCTATTGTTGCATCACTCACATATAAATGTTTTGTCGTTTCTACTTTAATTAGACTGATACTATTCCTTGGTGCTATTTCTAAACTTGGGTTTGTTACCCCCCCCCCCCCCTCAGATCTTAATTCCCCCCACTAGGGGATTTTTATTGGATCAAATGATTAGAAATCAATGGCAAGTATTCTTTCTACAAATTTTGTCAGGCATACTCAAAACCTCAAAAATCATATTCCAAGGACTTTTATAGTTTTTCAAGCTTATTAATAGCAATTTTAGCAGCAAGGGAAATTTGTTTGCAAAAATTTCTCTCAAGTCAATTTCTCTTAAGCATGACCTAAGAATCCTCCATTTATTGAAATTTGCCTTTCCTGTTAATTTACCCGCATTTGCTTGTTTATTATGAACCGAGTTGATTAATTGATAGTTTGTTAGTTGGTTTAGACTGCAGTGCTTAGGATCCATTTAATTTTGATGCGGATCCGCACTTAAAAAAAAAATAATTTTCAAATTTTTTGTTTTATTTTTTTCGCTTATTTTTATCCTAAAACTTGATGAACCATTCAGAAATGAGGAAATTTTTACAATCTCTTTTTTTCAAAAGTCCAGAGTTGGGTTTTAGGAGTGAAAAAGTTTTTGGTTGATATTTTACCCTTTGGATCCGAATCCGTGGATCCGCATATTTTTTGCGGATCCGGGTCCGGATCCAGGAAGCCAAAATCTTGGGGATCCAACGGATCCGGATCCTAAGCACTGGTTTAGAGTTACCTTAAGTGTACTTACTATTATCGTATATATGATATTTATACATCACCTTCCAACTATTCGTAATTTTTTTCGTTGCCAAATGATAAATTTTAGTTTTCAAAGGTATTTATTAGACTTCAGCGCACATTTACCATTAACGTTGATTGTTGAACACTGTATTCCTATTCGATATCAAGGTTGTACATTTTTAATTAAACGTTTTACTAATTATTGAAAAGTTAAAAAATGAAAGTTGATTCCCGTTGTTACTAATTCAACTCAAGTTACACATATTATTGCATTAAAGGGATTTCAGACGTAATTTCAATTGATTTCGCGATTTATTTAGTGCCATGTTTGATTCACAACGGTACCCTTTATATCTTTGTCTAAAGGATGAATGTGAGTTCCTTGTTTTTTTCCAGAAAATTGATTATTTTCAATGATGTCTTCTCGATAATATATAGACTAGCGGATTTGAAATACAGAAATATTGACGGAAATTTGCCGATTTCATCAAGTCTTAATCATTGTTACTAGATATAGGTTAAAGACTACCAAAGTGAATTGGACCTGTCGTACTTTATATTATCGCTTACGTCTATGGCCAACTACATAATCTACAGAATGTTGCACGATATGTTCAAGAACGAAAACATTTTCACACAATTTAATTATTTTGTTAAAAAAAACCGTTTTGTGTATTTTCAACGATCCATCTTCATCTTTCCTCCAAAATTTTGTTGCGGGAAACCTTGTTTTAAAAAGTTTGAATTCTTGTAGTTTTAAATTAATTATCACCAACATCACACCTTTTTGTTTTCTAAACAATCTAATCAAACGATGTGAACTAGTAACCAGTTGACTGATTGTCGTCTTCGCTCTTTCTTATAATTTAAGGAACTAAACATTTAATTTCAAGTCACTCTCCCTTTTACTGAGTGGCATGTCCGATTCACAACATATAGTTAAGTATGCATTTCCGCATCAAAATTAAACTCTTCTTAATCCAGATCATTATCTTCCACAGTATTGATCAGTTAAAGATTATTAGGGTACCATTGTGAATCAGGCATGCCCCTTATTTAATTTCAATGACAGTCCCTTTAATACCCCTTTAAATGTTGTCATCTGTAATTGTAATGTAATATCTTTGTAACTAAAGGTAATTTGTCAGTTGTAACGGTTGTGATGCAACATTTTTTGCGGTAGTTAAGTTTAAAGAAAGATCAACGGCGACATTTATTCCACCCTCGCTAGAAGAATTCTGTTTCAAACTTGCTTTATAGTTTTTAACAATTTATAGTCAAATTACTAAACCCTATTTAAACTCACAATGTACATATTCTTGATTGTAAAGCTTTCAACAAATATGTTTTGAATGATTTGAATTTTGTTAAATCGAAATTAAATTTAGATTTTTAAGATTATTTTAATTAATTTTTGTGTTTGAAGATCTTTAGTATAATTCTCATAATTTTATTTAATTGTATGTTAAAGGTTTTGTTCGCGAAAATTTAATCTGCGTACTGTTCTGTTCTCTGTCTCTCCATTTACAGATTCACAACGGTACCTCTTTAAAGCTTGTATGATCAAGATTGGGTGAGATATTCATGATTTTAACTTTGAAAATTGGCCATTGTAAATGAAGGGTCACTTGAAACAACAACGACATTTCACTCATTTCGCAAACAATTCCTTTAGTTCACGGATTTTATGAAACTCTGTGATTAGCTTTGAACTGTAATCAATTCATTCACCTCCTCCTTCACACAGCATACTTAACTGTTTTAGGAAATAAAATCTGAGCTTTCTTTTTTCTCTTTTTGTTTACTATGTTTATTAAACTTTTTTCTTCTTTAATGATAAATAGAACATTTGCTAAAGTGCCCGGCGTTTCCTGTAGAATAAAGAAAAATTGAAGAAAAAAAAATAATAGAATTTTTTTTTAGCCTATGTTACCCCCCTGATACTAAAAAAATTCTGGTAGACATAAAAAGCATTTATATGGCCATGGCATTTTCACTAAACTTTTGAACAAGTCGTTTTAAAACCAGAGGTATACCTCTACTTCAAACATCGGCAAGTGTCAGAACATTGGTTTTGATGACTAAATTTATACTTTAGACTTAAATTTAAAATTCGGTGATGGTGATGGACCAAACCTCTGTAGAGTAAAAAAGTAGATGGTAGTTCCACATTTATTAAAAATATATTTCGGTCTGGGTTGAACCTTGTCAGTTCTTGAGATTGTTTCTGTCACAAAAACACTTTAGACTTAATTTAGACTTAAATTTAAAATTCGGTGATGGTGATGGACCAAACCTCTGTAGAGTAAAAAAGTAGATGGTAGTTCCACATTTATTGAAAATATATTTCGGTCTGGGTTGAACCTTGTCAGTTCTTGAGATTGTTTCTGTCACAAAGGTTAAAAACGAACACTTTAGACTTAATTTAGACTTAAATTGTGTTAGAATGGTAAAAATATTGGGGGAGAACCGGTGCTAGACAACATATTGTTTTCAGGACGGAATAGATATTAGCATAGATTTATAACAATACAGATAGAACACTTGATGTCGTCTTTTCAATATTAGGGGTTTTTAGTTCACAATAATCCTGAGGCAGAGGCCCAAAGAAGTTCCGGGCAGGCAGTGTTGAATTACATGAGATAGATATTGTTGTAAGTGTTTTTATGATCATTCCTAATTTCACGCTGTAATGAGCAGGAAAGGGTGCAGCCACTATTGTTGTCACCCCTTCTTAAAGTTGCATGATCCGAGCCGTTGCAACATGTATGTATCGGAGTTCAAAGTGCGTATTTTTAACAAAGAATGTCAGATCATGGTTAGAATCAATTATTTCTGTATATGGGAACTCTGTTGGGTGTCTACATAAACTAAAACTCCTTTTTTGTAAAATTTACAAACGAATGTAACAGATTCTTTAAGAATTGGTATTTGTGCTTTTATGAATAGTGAAAATGTATTTATATGTTTGTATTTTTTGTGAACACTGTGTATTTTGAAGTATAGGCTCAAGGTTAAAACTACGCCTTAAATCTAACGTTGAAATCTAGAAAAAATGATATCATCAGTTAAAACCAATCTTTGAGCAGCTCCGGAGTTCCAACCCAACTCTGTACCAACAAAAAGGTTCTAAAGGTTTATCTAAGCAGCTCCCTACAGAAGCAGCTTTCTACAGTTCTGCTCCAGACTGCTCCGTGTTCTGAAGACACCTCAATTCCAGCAGTTGAGAAGCTTCCTAAATCCCCCCACAGAAACTAACTACACAGTAATAACGCTCCCATATATTCCGTAACAAGTTTTTACCAATAAACATTTTCAAACCCCACCATGCATCATTTAATTAGACCTAAGGTTTAACAGTATATGCATTCAGTCGTCCCGTCTAGTCTGGACTACAGTACCCAGTGTAGAGTCGACCCATCACTGACTTAGTTCCCTCGTTGGAGTCTCTTAAGAGAATCTAATCAATCCTGAAGAACAACACCACAGTTCTTCCTCATCATTCTTCAGTTCCAGCCCTGAAATCAGACCATATTCCTTCCAGTTTAACCTCCTGACCTGAAAACTTCAGAATGGGATATCCTTAATCCCGTTCGGTTAATTAATCTGGAGATTAATAACAAGAGAACAAGCATTATTTAATCTTGAGATTAAAAAAAGAGTGGATCAAGCATTAATCCCGATATCCACCATTCAAAAGTTCCCAGCTCTGGTCTCATGTTTTCATCAGGGAAGATTCATCTAAACCATCACTGTACAGGACCCTACCAGTTCTCTCCCAGAAACCGAAGTTTTTCCTTGTTCAAATAGATCAAATTGTAATCATTCAACAACCTCCCCGACGTGGAAGACCTCCGTTGGCTCCGGCTCTGTTGACTCCAACCTCTCTAGAGAGCCAAGAGTAGGAATAAGCAAGTTCGATTCTCACCTCAGCAGTCTTTGTTGGAACCCTCGAAGAGAAGTTCGAAATAAGCATTAAGTTTACTAAGTAGGGTTTCCATTCGCAAAACTTTTGCGCAATTTTTGCGGAACGAAACCCAAAATTTTTCTTTCTTTGCGCATCAGTTTTGCACGAAAAAAAAAAATTTGCTCAATCATTCGCAAAAGTCATTTCGCGCAAAATTGCCCTATTCCGCTTTTGCGAAACTCAAGTTTTGCACAATTCCGCCACTAGAGTTTTGCGTAATTCCGCAATTTCGTAAAAATCAAACGGTTGGCGACAGTGTGTGTTTGTTAGAATTCAATTCTGGAAAAATCTTGTTTTGGAATGTCTTCCTAATGGTCACTTTTACATAATTGACCAATTATACAGTTAAGAAGAGTTCAAATCTCACAATTTTCTCGACAATTTTAGTTTTGGACATGCATATTTCTTAAAAGTGGATTCTTCAGGCATTCATGGTTACTTTCTTGCATTATTTTATATGAGATTAAAAAGATTTCAGAAATTTTATTTTAAAAAATTACGAAAATATAATTTCATACTTGATTAGGCAAAACTTTTAAGGGTCACTTGAAATTATTTATTAGGATTAAAATATTGCCAAGTTTCACACTCTCTAATTTCTATTTTATTAATTTTGGTCCCTTAATTTAACCTTTTGGTGACATGGAAACGTCTCAACATGTAAACGCCTCAACACGGAAATGCCTCAAAAAAACAGAATCATAAAACTAATTTAATGTTGTCTCCTCTAAACTTAAAATTAAAAAGACTATATTCTATCAATTTTCACAGCAATAGGCGCAGCTCTCGCCCTCCTAGCCTGCTCTAGCTGCAGCGCACGGCCCCATAGCCTGTCCTAGTCGCAGGGCTCAGCCCCCTAGCCCATCCTAGCCGCAACACTTGGCCCCCTCCGTAGCCTGCGGCGCAACCTTATATACCCTAAATTAATAGTAAAATAATTGTTAAAATATATTTTTATAATGAGAGAAGATGACATAAAATTAGTTTTATGAGTCCGTTTTTTGAGACATTTCTGTGTTGAGGCGTTTCCATGTCACCAAACTTTTTGTAACTTGAAGTAACCAATTGAGTGTAGTATAATCATTATCATACTCGTATGTTAATATTTTTTTTATGTATGGAATAAATCTTCAGTTGTTTTATTCTAAGCTTAGAATATCAATTTTTGACAATTTGCCTAAAGAGTTACATTTTGCATAAAACTTTCGGTTTTGCGCAAATTGCTCAAAAAAAATTGCGCAAAACTAAAGTTTTGTTTCATGCACAACTTTCGCAAAAAATATTTCCGGTTTTGCGCAAATAGCGCAAAAGATTTAGCCATTTCGTGGAAACCCTAGTTCTTGATGCGGGTTTGACATAAATTATTTATGATGTACAGGGTTGACTAAATCACCTAAAATTATTTCTTTTAGTCTATCTATATTTATAAAGGACGGGGCTTACCATGAACTTTTATATAAAGTCTTTAAAATATTCTCTTTTGTATTACTATATGCTAACGGAATTTTTTATATTCCAGATTGAATTTGCTGAATAAATTTGTTTTCTGTCATCAATCTGTGTATTATGAGTAGACAAGGCAAGAATTGGATTACGGTCTGCTCAGGATCGAGGAACCAAACTAGGTAGTTGAACAGTAGAGCAGTTGGGGTGATCGCTTTATAAATGCAGAGAACAAGTTTAGACAAAAAGGAACAAATACAGAAATCAAGTCCAGACAAAAAGAACCAATACAGAGAATAAGTCAATACAGATGTTTATGTCATTGATATATAATATTGTCAACCATTGACAATATGTCAATTTGTAAAGTTGTCTTTAACTTAGGTAGACATCAAACCAAACAATTTTAACCCCCCCCCCCTTCTTTGTTCTCTCAAAAGTTGAACAAAGAATAATTTTTATATAAAGAATTAGTGACTTTCGTTAATAATCAATTGTCATCTTATTTCAGAAGTTTAGAACGTCTTAGTACTGTTCAACCATTATTACCATCTAATCACACAGAAATAGATCGTAAGAATTTTTTCATTATGAACATTAATTTTTACCATTTGTACACATAATCAATATATGTAATTTTTCAGGAAATAAAGAGAATTATTTGTTATTGATTTTTGAGACGGGGGTTCATTCTATTGTGAGTTTGCTGTTCCAATTGAGAAATATTGTTAGGAAATATATCTCCTTCAACGACTGATTTCAGCGGACTTATTATCTATCATCTTGAGAATCTCGGTTTCTAGCCGTTAACATTTCGATCTACCACAAGACGAAGCTTCAAGAAAACCTCAAGATGAATCCAACCACTCCTCTTAACGAGGATACTATTAATGACCTACCTCCTGAAACCCCTCATCAGGAGGATCAAAGATGTACCAGAAACACGCCATGCCATCTACAAGAATGCATGATTTGCCCCACAGCTAAAAACGATCCTGCTGGGAATCCTGTATTTTATGGAGTAAGACTCATGGAAATTCTAGCTGTGTCCTTGCCAAATAACTGGTTCTGGTGCCCAGGAACCCTCAACCCAGCTGACCTACTCACTAGATCTGGGACTAGCTGCCCACAAATCAGCTCCAGATTCTGGTTGAACGGCAGTTTCTTACCTCAAAAAAGATCCACTTGGCCCCTTATCCTCAGCTTTTTTATCACAATGGTCAACCTCGCGAGGTTAATCCCAGTCAACCCATCTCAGGACTTGATTGTCAGCCTCCTGCAACACTTTCAGAGCCTCTCCAAAGTCATCCAATCCCTGAATTTCATCCACAAAGCTTGTAGATCTTGGAGAAACAATCCCAACCCTACTACCACCTGGAG